TTTTTCCTTAGCATGGCAGAGCTGAGCTGCTGTTCTTTGAACTCTTCCTAGTTTATTTACCGATCAACGGCAATGGACCGTTTACGTTCGTCAGAGAACTGTGTTTTGATGGTAGAATCCTGTATAGCTTCCAGGACTTTATGTCCAATTGTTCACCTACCTTTCGTCCATTAAATAAATGTCCACCGCTATTTATGTCCACAAAACGTTAAGTCCAGTCTATATTAAGTCCACATGATTTAATGTCCAACCATGAATATGTCCAAAATTGTCCAAATTGTGGACATGTTATGTCCACATTTTGGCGCGTATACGTAGTATACCGCCTTTGCGATCGTTTCGACCCCCCCCTCGATACAATAACCGAGTCCCCTAGTTCCTTACCGAAAAGTGACTACCGCGAACTTCTGAGATTTTCCAAAGCGTGTAAAAAGTTTACTAATCCGTCAATAATAATGATTAAAATTTGTTTCTCATTCTGGGGCTCGCTAGTTTATGTGTAATGAATACCAAGAGTCTACGTTTCTTGGTTTTTTTTAAAAAAACCTTAGAATGGGGCGCGCTGATTTAAAATATGCATATATAAGCGGAAGCAAGCGAACTGATTCGAGGATGGCTGACCAGTTCGGCACTCCTTGAATGAGAATTTCACTCACTCCGTTTTGTTCACAACGTTGCTTTGACATATCTCCACAACACTGTTATCCTTTTCAAAAGTTGGTACTCCTTGCTCTGATAGCCGGGGCCACCAGGATAGTGGTAAGTGCAATCTGTGATGAGCCTCGAGACTCATTAGACCATTTGCTAAACGTGGCTCATACAGGAGTCCACTAAGCCCTCTCGTCCCCACGCTCCTGATCACTGCGTCGGCGTCACGAAGAACAATGGGCCTTGGGTCCCAACGCGGCCGATACCCGTACCCCAATTACTCACGCTTCATTAACCATTTCACCGTCACGCTAGGATTCATCCAATTTTCAAAAAAAATTGTTTCGCATGTATTTAGCAATTTTTTCCTTACTCTCCGTTAAAACACAAATAAAAAGAGACCTCATTCATAAAAATCGGCCGAATAGAAGAGAAGTTACAGTAATCGAAATCCGAAGAAATCAACAAAACCTCGACTCCTCGATACGAAAAATAAAATGAAGGGGAAAAAAAGAAAGTATAAATTACAATTAAATATAATTGACCTCAAAATTTGACAAACAATTCATTTATATACCTAACGCTGAAAAAACTGGGAGAAATTACAAAAAATTTGCCTCTTGCAAGGGGCTTCTTTGTAAGAATTTTGACCTGAAGACAACGGTCGAATAACAGCAGTACTCCATACAATACACGGTGTGCCTGAACGAGTTAAACATTTTTCATACGTCCAAATCGAAAAATCTTTATATTTTTAACTACAATGTTTCTTGAATCGTTTAAGCAAAAAAAAAAAAAAAAAAAATTCCGTCGAGATTCTGGAACGCAAAGGCGCTTTAAAAGTATTCTGGGGCTATAATAGCTAAATCACCGGTAGTAAATTCGTTATATTATTAAAAAGAAATTGACTCCATAGTTTAATTCCTTAGTTTCTTGAATACGATTATTTTAAGCACTTAAACATTTATACCACCAATTTTAGCCATGGGGTGATTTCCTGAGAGCCGATAATATCACGAATTTCTCATAGAACCCCTCAACAGTGGCTTGCTTTTTTGGCAGCCGATTCGGCCATCGAACCGGAGTTTAAATGGAAGCTGATAATAACCCAAAGCTCTGAGAAAAATTTTGAGATGAGTATAAGAACGGTTTGTTGTAAGTAGCGAGGAGAGGCGGGCAAAGCGGCTAAAATCCTATCTAATTTTTACAGTTTTTCTGTTGAATTAATGTTGCCGCGGGCTTCTGACTGTCCACACATAGTTCTGTTCAGCATATCGATACATAAGTATTTACATTTTACATACGTAGAATCTAATTTTCACGTCGGGGAGTTGACATATTTTGATTTTTTCGATTTTATACGGAAAATTGATGGTTTTTCGGGATTGAAATTATTATTGTTTCATGAAAAATAAATGCACCCAAAATGACTATAGCATATTGATTCTTACACATTTGCACTCACAAAATTGGTTGGTAAATTCAACGAGTGGGTGCATCGACCTGGTATATCAAGTTTCTGCAATTTTTTACGGCAAATCAGTAGATTTTCGGGATGTAGATTGCTTACTTTCAATTCATGAATGAATAAAGCAACGACATGGTTGAACTTCTTTGCATGGAAAGACGTTTAAAATAACAAAATCAAGACGTATTTAATGCAATTGCATTTATATCGAGTCAATTTCTTTTCAATAATATAACGGGATTTTTACTACCGGTGATTTGGGTATTTTAGCCCCAAAATACCTTTAAATCGACTTTATCTTCTAGGAGTTCGACAGAATTTTTCCTTTCTTCGCTTAAATTATTCCGTAGCACTTTTCTTCAAGAATCTGATAAGATTTTGCTTGAGGCAGATCAAAAAACTTAAATTCGATCGAATAGCTTTCTACTTTCACAATACACGGTCTCGTCAAGGTGCGTCTTTGACCTCGCAGTGTTGGATCGTGAATTCTCTTTTTATGCTGTTTGCCTATTTTGAAATCTCTGTAAATGAAAACTAAAGGGGTTGATATGTGCGAGTTAATGACGCGCCTTATCAACACATTGTGTTGGAGTTCACTGCTTGTTTTTCTTCTCATTCAAATGACAGGAACCACCTCAAAAATGAATTCATACTACCACTACCTTCATTCTTAAAAACATTTCATTCATGAATCAAGTCATGAAAGAGAACAGACTCTAAGCGCAGATAATAAAAACATTGTTCATGTGTACAGAGTACGGATATGATAAGATGAAAACCGAAGCGGGAGCCTAAGAAACGCTCCAAATCCAAATTAAACATTTTTCAGTAACAGATGCTGTCAAAATTGAAAGTCCTCTTTAACTAGTTATTTCGTACGCCTTCAATCGTGTAGGATACTGTGCAACGACTCTGACGCGAACAGTTGCTTAAGGCGTTGCGGCGTGTTAGCAGCGCAGAACGCGCACTGGCGCCTACAAACCTAACGGGATACTTCACGCGTTGCGCAATGCGTGAAGTATCCCGTTAGGTTTGTAGGCGACAGTGCGCGTTCTGCGCTGCTAACACGCCGCTCCGCTCTATGTTAATCTCTAATATTAAAACTCGCGGAGTCAGCGTTTTTCAACTCATGATTTTGAAATGTTTGCACTCTCTGCATTGATTATTCCCTTTTAAACTGATGAAAAAGAAATATGTACTACTGGAAAATATAATGTGTTTTTTGTAAATATAAGAGTAGTTCCGTGTCAAATTTAATGATTTCCAAATAATTCAAATTTGTTCTTTTATGTTTTGGGCTTTTACGGTGCTGCAGCGCGGTGTAAGCACAACTAAACGCTCAAAATTGGACGTATTTGACTCAAGAAGGGCGATGTACAAATGAGTTAAAAACAAAAAATTGCGTGCTTCTTAGTTTTTTCTCTTTTATTATTTTTATATAGTTTCTTACATCACAACTACGGCTCATTGAGATTCATATCGATACCATTGCTTGGAAAAGGTTTTACGAATACCACGTATTAAAAATGTAAATGTTTTTAAAATGAAGTAATCAATTTCATTTAAAAAAAAGAATGTACATTTAAGGCATATTTTATCGGAAATTCCTAGTATTAAAATGAAACCAAGTGTTTACCAAAGACAATTTGAAAAGATGAATCAAAACAAGAAACTAACATTGCATTTAAAATATGAGTTACGATAACAACACCCTCTTAATATTCTCCTTTCGATATTGTCAAAATAATTTTACACACGGACTAAAATATAACGCTTGAATTTGATTTTAGCGGACTTTACATTTGTGGACTTAACTTAGCGGACGTTTACAATAGTGTGGGCTTTAGAACTGTGGACGTAAAAATTGTGGACGAAAAGTGTGTGGACGTAAAAAAAGTGGACATAAAGTCTGTGTACCCCTGTATCGATGCCTCAAGTCAAAATAGTGTATTCTCTTCGGAGAACTCTAAAAATGCGTACATTGAGAATCTCCACTTGTGTTTCGTTTTTTTCCTAAAAAAAAGGAGCCAAAAGTTTATTTAGAAACCTACCGTGAATTTTGTTTTCTACCGATTCGAAGCTGCCAGGGTTCAAAGCATTGTTCAGGTTTTCTCCGTTATTTTCTGAAAAATTGGGCAGTGGATCAGTTCAATCTTTCGTAATGGAGAATTTGCATAAAAAATGTATCATTGCTTTATCTGACAGTGCTTGGTGAGCTGGTTTTGCAGTATATTTCATAATTTATTTCTAATTTGGGAAATTGTAGGAACATGGATTCAAAAGTTAGAGAATGTACCACATCTGGCGATATTTCCCATTTAATCACCATGTATTTTAGCAGATTTTGTTATTTTGTTACGTATCCCCCAAAAATTGTTCCATTTACAAACCAAGGACATTCTCGTGCTAAGTTTTCTTAAAGGTTACATCTTAAATATGAAATTCACCACATTTTAGACACCTGCAAATTGTATAAAGCCGCTTTCATGGCGCGAATTAGCATCACCTGCAAATCCTTCACTTAAAATGGGGTGTCTCACAATGAGGAAGGAGGGATGTCCAAAAGTCGGCCAAAACGACTTGGGTGATAGCTCAACAGCTCCTTGAAAATCCCGGAAAAATCGAAAATTTCCCACGGTAATCTCGTATAGAGAAACTTGTATACATCAAACTGCGATCACCTGCAAATCCTTCACTTAAAATGGGGTGTCATACAATGAGGAAGGAGGGGTGTCCAAAAGTCGGCCAGAACGACTTGAGTGATAGCTTAACAGCTCCTTAAGATTCCCGGAAAAATCGAAAATTTCCCACGGTAATCTCGTATAGAGGAACTTGTATACATCAAACTGCGATTTAAATCGCGGTGTCTCGTGGGGAACTATCGAGTCGGGCCGTGCGCAGCGCTGCTCGCGTGGCGGCACCGCTGAGCGGGGATCCCACAAGACAGCGCCTTCAGTCCCGCGAACGCAGCCCGCCACACCGTTCACCGGCTTTAAAAAATAACTCCCTCCTTCCGCTCTCGTGCACCGCTGGGATTAGAGCCGCACTCGCTCGAATTTCAACCCGACGCAACAGTTTAGTGCGATAAAGATTAAGTGCTTTTCGAGGTCTCCGTCCGCGTGCGAAACATTCTCAGTCGTTAGGTATTTTTTTCGGTCCGGGGATGCTTTTTTTCGCTATCGTTCGTACTTGCTGAACCTCACGTTACGTCACGGAGATTACGTACTTGTTTGTTAGAGCGTGAAAGGATTACGCTTTGAGTGGTTTTTTACGCGAGGTCGCATCCAAAAAGTGTGGGCTTTTGTACCCTCCTATCTTGTGTGCGTTTCATAAAATATAGATGTTGATTAGAAAGTTACAACTGCTCCCTTAAAGTTCTTTTTGACGATGTAGTACATTTTGGGGGTGAAAAAGAGCGATCAACAAACAACGATCGTTTCAAAATTTTTTGATTTGTGCTCCTAAACCGGTTCGGAACGGTCTTCGATAACTCTCTGTGCGGTTAGTTATTTCCAGTGAATCCTCGTACGGAAAAGCATAATTGAGGGTGTCAAAAACAGGGTAAGTGTTACTTTATATTTGTGACTCGAGGAAGTATAATTTTGTAGAAATCCGTTAAATGCAATAATTGGATTGATTAACTTTTTAACTAATTAACTCTTTTTCTAATACTTTAAGTTCATCGTGGAAAAATTGAAAAACATTCAACAATTTATAGTCGAATGAATTCTTTTCTCTTGATCACTCGATAACTACGCTTTTCTGGGGGAAAATTAATAGATCTTTTCTCACAACTAACTAAATCCGGTAAAATTTCCAGAAAGAGTTCATTAGTAGCCTCACCGAACAAACATGAAGTGCTTATAGCAATTTAAAATGTTCCCATGGGTTTACGGATTTAGAAAGTCAGTTCTATTGGTATTAAAAATAAATTGAAAAATAAAGAATTTTGTATTGAAGCTGAAAATATATTAAACTTTCCCAAATGTGTAATATCTTCTCATTTTCGTGAGTTGCAAATTTGTACAGAAGGGACCCATTGATTTAGTTTAATTTTCAAACATTCTCCAAGCTGCATCTGAGATCATCAGGTAAACAAAATTCTCAATAAATGGGTCGCTTTTTTCAATTTGAATTATTGTTTTTTTGGACTCATTGGATTGCTTTAAAATCACATTATTCTATGATAGAAGCAGTCAAATATGTAAAAGAAATCCTCAAACCCCTGCGAGAGTGGTCTCATGGCTCCTAAGCTTCACTGGAAAAAAAACACATTGAATCTAGAGTCCAGACTCTTGAAAACATTGACAAGAAAAAATACTCTTGATTTAATCGGATTTTTGCTTGAATCAAAACGAAATCCGCTTAAATTAAGAGGCATGGTTCTTGATTTAAGCTAGATTCTGATTGAATCAAGAGTACTTTTTTTTGTCGATGTTTTTAAGAGTCTGGACTCTAGATCCAATGTGTTTTTTTTTCCAGTGTTCATTAAAAGGAGTAAACTTAGAAAGAGCTAGACTGAAAAAAGAGCATTGCATCGCGGACAGTACAAAACGTCGCCCTTTTTGCGTCAGGGCTTATCTCGATTTTCGCATGAGCCCCAGAAAGCATGGGCTCATACGTAAAACAGGGTTCACGTGGAAATTGATACACGCTCTAACGTCAGGGCCGACGGAAAGTAGGACCTATACCGCCGTACTGAGGAAAAACGCAGTATGAGCTTTTAGGCGTTGCCAAATGTCCTCTGGCATATCACTAATTTTTAGGATATTTTTTGAATATTTTTCTGCCAACTTCTCAAATAATTTTGCTCGTAGTTTGATCTAAAGTTTCTAAAAATGTCAAAGAAAAATATTCTTAATTTTCCTCATAAATAAAAATTTTATTGAAGGAAATCCGCCAACTCTCGAATGTTCATAGTGCATTTTTCCATAGCACGACAGTATACTTGTAATGTCCGTGACGTTCTATTTTTCAATACAGCGCAATCTGATGTGCTGGTTACATGCTCAAATGCCCATCAATTTCCGATCAAATGGTGACTGGTGCGCACCATCTACCATCAAATTTTTGCGGCCTGCAAAAATTTGATGGTAGATGATGAAACTGTGGGGCTCATCCTTCATCTGCTTTCCACACAACCGTGCTTATTTCATGCTTATTGCAATCAGCACGCTGTTTTAATTAATTTTACTCATCAATCTAGATAACTCTCGACCGCCATTTTGGTCATCATTTTGATCGGAATTTGAGAGAAATTTGAGCGTGTAACCAGGCCATGAGATTTAATCATTGTAATGAAACAAAAGACTTTTTATATTTTTTTACTCCGAATGATTAGACCTTTACGACACTTCGAAGCGTCAAAGTGTAGGTAATGTTTGCGACAAAAATAATGTCCTCGCGGTCTTTGGTACTACGCTAGCAAGCGTGTGATAATAGCATTCTCATAAAAAGAGCACTTCTTTCGTGACGAGTTCGAACATTTGTGCTTTTGTCGCTGTAGTGGTGACTAATGTGTTGCAGTGTTGAAGACAAGATTCTAGCACCTGCCTTTTACGACTGCAACAACTGCTCATGGCCGTGTTTCTCTTGGCTGCGTTTAGCTTGTGCGAGCTTATGCATAATTCTTTCCCCCGCACAGAGAAGGAATAATGTTATGAGTGTATCCCTTGTAGGCACAAGTCAACGTTGGCATATTTTTTAAAATGCCTTGATTGTAGTCTAACAGAAAAATGGACGGATTCCTATCAAATGGAACTAAGCGCCATCGGGGGAGGAAGGGAGAGGGGGGCTTGGATTGGCGGGTGCTGCGGAACGCTATGCTCGTCCTCCTATACTCGCAATGCTTTCCCATGGCGCTTAGTTCCGTTTGACAGAACGCGCTATCCGGAATTCTAAAATCCTCAAAAGGAACTTTAATTTGGCGCTTAGTTCCGTTGACAGAAATACGTCCAAATATGCATAACATTCCGCAAAAATGGCCATTTTATGGAAGGAAATTTGGCAACTCTTGAATGCTCATGCGGCGTTTTTTTTCCGTGCAGAATTTCTCGAATATCTTCCCTAAAAATTCTTAACTAATTTTATCAGCCTTTTATCAAGTGTATATTAACATCTCATAGAGAAATATTCATTATTTTCCCCCAAAATAAATATTTTGGCAAGGGAGGAACTTCACACGAGAAATGCTGATACGGTAACTTTTTTTAAAGCACGGCAGTATTCTTGTACTGCCATTTTCCACCTTACGGTATCAGTAAGTACGACGTCCAAACTTGAATTAGACCACCTCTTTACGTAGTATATTAGCGAATATTTATAACAGCGGTTAAGGTGAATTCCAAGGCCTGCCTAAGAATGTTATTCCTATAAAAGCCTTTCTTCTGGACGAAAATAGTAGTGCAAAAAAGCACACTTTATCATCGGCGAACATTTAATAATTTAGAAATCTTTCACAGAATGATGGAGGCGGTAGTCGGTACTTCATTCACTGGGTAGGCGGGAGGCTGTTTTTTATGTCCATTAATATAGAAGACGTCTGCGTCGTGCCTTCCCTCATCCGTCAGATAAGGGTTGACACCGAGAAAAAATATCTGACAGAGTTTACTGTAGGTGTTGCCTTTTTTCTCACCAGCAGGTTATAATGACATTTTACCTCCCTTGTCATAACATTCCTTTGATATTCAGTTTTTCTCGAATATTCTGATTATTTCTGATAAAAATCGGAGATTTGTGATTCACCATCCATTATTGCATATCAAAGATTAGAATTTTGTTATTTACTTTGTCTAAAATCAACCTTCAAGTTCATTAGAAGCGCCGGCAAAATTTTCATCATTACATTCCTTGGACATTCAGTTTTTCCTCGAATATTCTGATTATTTCTGATAAAAATCGGAGATTTGTGATTCACCATCCATTATTGCTTATCAAGGGTTAGAATTTTGATATTTATTTTGTCTAAAATCAACCTTCAATCTCATTAAAAGCGCCGGCAAAATTTTTCAAGAGATCACTTGTCGAACGGTTTATGAGTTGTAGCCACTTATGCATTGGAGATAAGAGATGAATACGGCATACTTTTGGAGGGAAAGAGCGAGAGAAAAAATGCGTGGAATGGTCATGGGACTTCCAACGACTCAGTTCTCCAACGATTTTTTACTCCGCAGTCGTGGTTTGAACAAAACAAAGACATTATCGATAGCCAAAGTGCCAAACCGAGTATCTCCATTTTAGTGTTTCAAAATTTCCGCTATTAGTTTATTTCTTCGAAGAGAAACAAACTAATTTTATGCCTTAAAATGTATACAGAGTATTCTGCTAATAGAGAGGAAAATGTGTGGAAATTTTTAATAAATTAGTTAACTAGTTTTCCGGAGCAAAAATACAGTATGACAGGAAGAATGCGGAACCGAAACAAAAAGGATGCTGGCTTGATATTGTGGATGTAAAAAAGTGTGTAACAAATCACAAAACGCTAGATATGTTATTCAATAATTTTTCTAGTTTTACTAAGCTCCTCCAAATTTCTTCCAAATTTTTCTTGTGCAATTTTTTTGTTGGTAAAAATGTTCCTACGGATCTCGGTGTTTCCTTGGAAATTTTAAAAGCATATAGTGCGATACATACAAAAAAACGAAAAAAAAGAAGAGAAAAACTCACAAAAACGCTGATTTAACCGCCACAGCAGTTACTACAGTAATGTCAAGATGTAAAGCTAACTGCCGTGGCGGTTAACTCAGCATTCTGTGAGTTGTCGCCTACTTTTTCACATTCAAAATGTTAAGTCGGCATCCTTTTTTTTTTCGGTGTGCGTCGCAAAAGGAGAAACGTGGTTTCGAACCGTAGCCGTCGAAGCTCACCGTGAGGATTTCCTCTGACTCAGCACTGAACATTGCTCAGGCGGTTATCGGCCGTTTCAAATGATAGGTAAACCGCATCATTGAACCGTTGAATTGTTAAAATTCCGATCAATTAAATCGCTTGAAAGGAGTTCATTCGTTAGCCCCCTCCTCCTCCCCGAGTCCCGACGACCCTGCAGCTACCGAAACGAGATTAGACCGTCCCTGTGAAAGTTGAACAAACCCGCAACTTTTGCTCCGCAAAGCCCTTTGACACTTCCTCTCAAAGTGATCCGGACCATCTCTTAGCCTCGAGTGACCAACAGAGTGAACGAGCCCTTTAATGGGCATTCATTTCCACTCGTTCTCTTCCGCATTACTGATTCTTTCATGAATTTGTGAGCTACTCCATGCTTATTTTCTGCTCTGTGGGGTAAACCTTTTAAGAAGGAAGTTTATGGGGTCTGGTTGAAAAAAAAGGGCTCGCGGGTGGATACTGAATGATCGAAATGACTTACTTTTCTAAAGTGTTACGAGGAACACGGAGAACGATATAAAATTTGAAGATATGCTAATCCTATGCTTCGCCAACGGTGAGTTTTACACTTTACATACAACAAAAGGTAACTTAAGGTGATTCGATGGATGCCATATTTTGTGTCAGAACGGCATGCGATATATCGCATCAATTGGTTCCATTTTTTCAGCTACTCGTCA